GAGTCCGACAGCAGCCCCTGTGCCTGGAGCCGCACCTGAGCTCCCCTGCAGAGTTTGGCGAGATCAACACGCTGGGGACAATTTCCCATGATCCTAAGTCACTTAGGCGCATTGGAAAATTGTCCCCAGCGTGTTGATCTTGCAGCTGGAGACTAAAGTCATTTCTGAATGCGAGGCCTGGGCGCCTTGGGGGATTTGTCCCTTGGCTCCGGATGCTGCCAGAGGCGTGTAGGCGGCAAAGTGCCAGGAAGATACCCAGCACCGCCCCAGGGGTCCCTCCCGTCACCGATCCCACCACTAGCCACTCCCCCCGTGAATGGGAACCGTCACAACGGGGGCCCTTTACTTTTAATGAAATCGGTCAGGGAGACTTCTTCAGCCTTCCCCTTCTCCATCTTCTTCAGCACGTCAGCCTCGGCGCTCGTCACCTGGGACAGCAGAGGGAAGCAGCTTGCACTGAGCGGCCCGAGCACACAGCATTCTCCAGGGGAGCGATCCTAGCCACTCCCCCCGTGAATGGGAACCGTCACAACGGGGGCCCTTTACTTTTAATGAAATCGGTCAGGGAGACTTCTTCAGCCTTCCCCTTCTCCATCTTCTTCAGCACGTCAGCCTCGGCGCTCGTCACCTGGGACAGCAGAGGGAAGCAGCTTGCACTGAGCGGCCCGAGCACACAGCATTCTCCAGGGGAGCGATCCGGGCCGGGCACGTCCCTGGCACTGCCCCAGAGAGGCTGCGGGGGCACGGGCTGCAGCACGACGGCTTAGACACCCCCTTGCAAGAACCAGCCACCTGCGCCCATTTCAAGGTCCGAGATTTTGACTTCACCTCCCATTTCCAAACATTCTCCCCCCAAACCATTCCCGAATTCATCCAGACTGGCCCTTTCCTGCCAGCCGCATGGAGGAATGGGCCGTTCTGACCCGAAGTCAGCGCCTGCTGCCCAGCGCAGCGCCGGGCGGGCACCCTGGGCTGGAGCGCCACTTTGAACAAGCCCCTGTCGGAACGGTCTCCAGGCCACCCACCGCGCCTGGTCCCCGTGCCCCGCAATGCCGCTCTTACCTGCCCTTTGATCATGTACCGCGGGAAGAAGAAGTAGGGGATGGAGGTGAGCAGCAGGCAGCCTGAGGAGATGAGCAGTCCCAGCCACCAGGCGCCGATCCAGCGTGGGTCACGTTGGGTGAAATTCACGAGCTCTGAAACACGAGGAGCCAGCGTCACCCGGCGTCCCAATCCAATGGCCGTTCGCACAGCGTGGCTCTGTCCCCGGAGGGGGCTGCGCTATGGACACGGCTCACCAGGGCTCGGCTCGTGCACGCTCGTCACAGGGCCCCACGGCTGATCCCCGTACGGGGCTGTCCTAGCTACAGGTTGAACCTCTCTGCTCCGGCGTGACTGGCGTTCGCCGGATGTCCACGTAGCATGGGTGTGGCCAGCTTTCCCGCGGGCCCTGCAAGGGTGTTTGCAGCCCCCAGCCCTGGCGCTCAGGGCTCTGAGCTGTTCCAATTCTGTGGCTCGGCACCGTCAGGGCCCGCGGGTGCCGGATGAGAGGTTCCACCTGTAGCTCTTATTTCCACACATTCTTGGCCCAGAATAAAAGCGCAGCGAGATCGGTTCACCCCTCCCTAGGGGCAGGAGGAGGAAGGAGGTTGACGTGCAGCCTCCTGCTGAGTCGACCGAGGACCAGACCCCCCGGGGTAGCGCCAGGGGAGTCACAGGAGTCTCCACTGACATAGAAGCAGCGGCACCAGCTTAGGTCAGCCGAAGGTCTGCCCCTACCCGCTTCCACGCTGCTCCTACGGGGCCTTGCCCCACTCCTCCCCCTTCCCTCCCGGGAGCTAGTTCCGAAGGGCCGGGCCCACGCAGAAACCCGTCCGTGCAGCCACCCACCGCTCCCTGAACGCAGGCAGCAGGCCGGGGCGCCTCACGCCGACGCCTGGAGCCCGTCAGCCCCAGAGAGGCCAGGGCCGACTGGCCAGGAGCCCTGCACCAGAGCGGGTCGTCAGTTGGAAGGGTGCAGCGCCCCGCACTAGCAGTGCAGGTTCAGCCCTCCACCGCTCCCCCCAAGAACCACGACCGGATGGGGACGGCCTGCCCCAGGCCTCCGTGTCCGAACAGCCCCGTCCCGGGAGGCCGGGAAAGGGTCCCACTGCCTCCCAGGAAGCTAGCCGGGGCTGAAAGGGTTAAAGTCCCGGGCTGGGGGAGGTGGCACGTCTGGACGGGGAGGGGGCTGCACAGTCAAGGGGGTGACTGGAAATGTCCGGAGCTGTTTTCCTGGAGGGGATCTGTCCCATTGTTCCCAGGCTTGGCACCCTGCGGATCGCTGCGCCCAAGGGGGGACCCACCCGCCTCTGGTCGCCCGG